AAGGATGCATATGTAACTTGAAGTAACAGAACTAATAATATAACAGACAATTTCATTTACTTCCAAGAGATTTTCTTTCTTCTTTGTTTTTGTATGGCAAGTCTCTTTAAAAAAAAAGACAGAGAAATTCAATAATAAAACCATGTTAAAATGACCTGAAGAGTCTAAATTAATTTGGGGCGGGGAGAGGGAGTTGCTTTTGTTTTTAAGACAAAATGCATCCAGTATCTTCTCCATCACAATATAATGGGACATACCTTTAACTACTTTCTTAAAATGCATCCTATTGTGCTTGCTAATTAGACAATTTATTGCACATTTCACTTTAGCTTGGTGTGCCAAGTTCTTTTTTTTTTTTTTTTTATTTAACACCACTGTCTTCTGAATATTTAAGTCAGAGATGAATTTAACCCTCTGTGTTTAAATGAGACCCTTCACATTGCTTTAAAAAGATTATGTGAGTTTTTTAGATGGAGTTACTCATTTTATGCAATTAAAGTTCTCTTAATGGAAAGTAGATTCAACCAATAATTTTGTTATATAAATATGACCACACAGAAAGACTGTTTCAATCATCAGATCAAAGAAAATATAATTTGATTGTGTAATATTCTTTCTAATTAAGAATGCTTTTACTAAAAAATCTAACAATTGGCACATTGAATGGGAGTTAACATGTTTAATTCTTCCTTTGGTTATGCCCTACTGTATGCACAGTAGGCACAATATAGGAAAAAGTGTGAGCTGTCTAGCTGTGGCCACAGTGCCAAAAATCTGACTGAGGAGGCGTACATTTTTCCACACTGCTCCCACCGTGCTAACATTCAGCAATTTAGCAACACTCCCTGAACTAAAACAAAGCAAGAAGGCACGCCCCCCGTTTCAGAACCTATATATGGATTATATGACTACTCTGAAACTGTTATGCTGACTTAAAGGAGCATGCCCAGAGAGAACACTGACATGGACACATGGTGAAGACTGTCAGAGGAACACTGACAACACCCCCGCAGCTGCCCTTTCTTAAAGGGAAACACATGTGTCTGGCTTATGCCTGCCAGCATTTTGCTAACAGACATTTATGGGCTCTCGTTCCTGAGTGAAGCAAAGTTAAAGGAAACACACCTAGCAAGTAAGCTAGATATGCGTTTTTTAAGTTTCCCTTAAGTTTACAAACTAGGGGAGAAGAATGGAAAAATACTTCCAAGAGCAAAATAAGCATTTTAAAACCTGTGAATTTTCTTTGAATGTAACGTGATGAGTTCTCTTCCCATCTGGTGCCATTTATTCTAAAGCAATATTCTAAACCTGTGGTTTCCAACACTCTAGCCACTAGCCACATGTGGCTATTTGGCCAGTTGAGTGTGGCTAGTTGGCTTGAACAATGTGGCTATATGGCTGATTGAGTGTAGTTAATTCACTGTAGTGGCTACTGCCTCAGAACTGGCTGGACACCACAGTTCTAAACTATTTGTTTTAAAATGCCTGCAATTGTTTTAGGCTCACAAATATCATTTACTGTTCCTGTACTGTTGGATTTTATTCCTTATGCTCATAAAGCCAGTTTACTTTCATCACACACAATCAAGAAGTGGCCTAAAATGAATAATTCTGCATTCATGACTTTTTATAGTTGTAAATCTGATACCTTTTGGGTGCAGCCTTCTGCATTGCAGGCTTCTCCCACAAAAGACAAAGGGAAGAACTCTGAGGTATTCATAATTCAAAGGGTGAGGGAAGCCTCCATGAGAAATGAAAAAGCAGTAGAGCAAAGTGGGAGTCAGACCAGGATGGGGAGTGAAACACTGACTTCTTAGGGTACGTCTGCACTGCAACACTATTTTAGGATACCGTGTCTTCACAGCAAGCCTGTTATTTCAGGCTCACTATTCTGATGTCCCTGTAAACCTCATTGTATGAGGAGTAAGGGACAGTTTGGAATAGCACTTTATTTTGAAATTTGGCGCTAGTAGATAGCACCAAATGACAAAATAAGCTATTTCAAAATAGCATCGAAATATGATATGCAATTTGCATAGCTCAGATTGCGTATCTTACTTCGAGTTGTGGAGCTGTGTAGACTCACACATACTTAGTGAATTAAAAGAGTAGAATGATCAATAATAACAGAAGCCTCTTTGGGGACAAGTAGAATGAGATGGGACAGTACGTTTTAATTAGAGGCAAGGAGTAAATTATTATGAATTTTAGAAGGACAGCCTGAGTACTTTGAAAGAGACAAATATTAATGGAGCCTGTGCTGAGGGAGACTGTCAAATGTTAAAGATAGCCATGTACTCCGGGATTTTCCTGAGGAACAGGAGTCTGGAGGTGGGATGGTAGGAAATAAGTGAGGAAAGGGCAGGTGACAATTATATTCAATAGTGAAAAGAGACCAGCACTTCTAAATGGGATAGGATCATTGCAGTGGTGCCATTTCAAATTTTTGGGGAGATAGCCTGATACTTGCAAAGGCGCAAGTAAATATAAAGGTGGGGGCCTGCCAGGGACTAACCCTTTATATTTACCTACACCTCTGCAGGTATCAGGCTATCACAGCTCTCATTGGTCATGGATTGCCAATGGGAGTGTTGGGAAGTGGTGCAGACAGGGACACCACTTCCTGGCATGGCAATTGGCTGCAAATCGTGATCAGTGGCCAAGAAGAGCTGTGACTGCCTGATACATGCATAAGCTCAGGTAAACAGAAGTGGGGGCCCACCAGGGACTAACTCTGGCGGGCCCGGATCCAGCCGGTGGGCCAATAATTGCTCACTCTGTTCTAGGGGCTGCTTAGGCACTTCAAAACTCTAGAGCCAAGTCTACAGTATCACTTATGTCAGAAAAAAACACACTCCCCAACAACATAAATGGTAATGTGCACAGTGCTATGGCAGTGGAAGAGCTTGCTCCTATTGGCATAGAGGAGGGGTGAGCATATACAGGTCCACGGGCCGGATCTGGTCCACCAGGATTAGGCCCTGGGGGGCTGCTACCACTATATTTATCTGCACCTCTGGAGGTACAGATGATTGCAGCTCCCATTGGCTGTGGATCATAATTCCCAGCCAATAGGAGCTGCGGGAAGCAGTGTCCTAGTCCGTGCTGATTCCCACAGCTTTCATTGGCCAAGAGCAGCAATCCCTGGCTAACAAGAGCCGCAATCACCAGTTCCTGCAGGTAAATATAGCAGTGGTGGCTCACTAGGGGCTATTCCTGGCAAACCATCGTCGTTTTATTGCCCACCCCTGGCACAGAGCAACTTCATGAGAGATCTTACATTGGCACAACTACTTCAGTGCGGTGCTACCTCAGTAAGGTCTCTAGTGTAGATATAGCCTAGGTTTTTGGAAGATAACTTAGCACTCATTGACAAGAGCACTGTATCTTATTTCTATATAAAAGAAAGGAAAAGAAATCAATATTAGACACACTCAGCTCTAATAATAACAGGTTCTGATATCTTGTGACAAGTCACTTAGGGGACCCCGTTAGGTTTAACATTTTAATGTATATCTTACTTTGTTACTAAATCTGCAGAGAGAGAGAGAGAGAACCCATCAGGACTTCCAGCTTCTATCTTAGCTCTGGGAGAGGAGTGGTGTCTAGTGGTTTACAGCAGGGAGCATATGCATCTGGGTCCTATGTAAGGAAATCAGAATGGTTATATTGGGTCAGACTAATTGTCCATCGAGACCAGTATCCTGTCTTCCAATAGTGGCCAATAACAGGTGTTTCAAGAGGGAATGAACAGAACAGATAATCATCTAGGCTATATGTACACTGCACATTTAAGTGTGTGTGTGTGTGTGTGTCCATGTCCTTAGTATGTTTCTTGTGATGATTTGTGGAGGGAGGGTTAATTTGAAATAAGCTGTTCCAGAAGAAATATTCTGAAATATCTTATTTCAAAATAGTGCATCTACACACCAAATGCTAATTGAAATGGTGCTTAGCTATTTTGAAATAGAGCGTCCACACTGACTGGACGCATTTAAGGCCACCCGGAACCACTTCAGGCTGGGCAGCACTCATTTCTCATCTTAGCTATTTTGAAATAGAGCGTCCACACTGACTGGACGCATTTAAGGCCACCCGGAACCACTTCAGGCTGGGCAGCACTCATTTCTCATGGCTCTTGCTTAAAGGGACCTCCCTGTACAGCAGTGTCTCAGGCTTTTTTCCTTTGCCTACCTCCTCGAGGGACAGAAACCCATTCCACTACCTGCTGTGGTTGCATCTGCAGACACTTCAGCTATGAAGCCGGAGCTGCCTCTGGGCAGCCAATGGCTATTGCAGCTCATGAAGCACCTCATCAGCATTTTCTGCAGGCTGCTTTGCAGGCCCTGTAGGATCTCAATCCTCTGATCATTTGGAGACCCTCATTGGCACGGCTCATGCTGCTGTATCCTGCCCACCCTCCCCAGCACACCATGCACTGCCACTTCTGGTGTTTGAACACCAGTGCCAACTGGTGGGACCTGCTCATCATGGAGTAGTGGGAAGGCCAGCAATAGCTCCAGAATTTCTGGATGAGGAAAGATGCCTTTCTGGAACTCTGTGAGTGGCTTGCCCCTGCCCTCAAGTGATGGGACACTCACATGAGACCTGCCAGCCCCCTCCAGAAGCAGGTTGCCATAACCCTGTAGAAGCTCGCCACACCAGAGAGCTACTGACCCATTGGAACCAGTTTGGCATGGGCAGATCAACCATTAGGGCCCTGGTCATGCAGGTATGACGCTTTTAGGATATTGTCCCAGGAGGGGGTGGACTGCTGGAATGGGGTTCCCTAGGAAAAGAGGAGTGGGGGGTGGGGATGGTGCAAGCCCCCTCCCTGGGAGGTTTTTTAGTCCTGCCTTCACAAAGCCCTGCTGGGTGATGGGGTAAGTGGAGGGGTTGCTCCTGCTGGGGGGCAGGGGGAGTTGGGCTAAGAGGACTTCCTGAGGGCCCTGGAACCACTGTGATTCTCTGTTTGTTTGTTTGTTTATTTCCTTCTACAGGTGGTGCAGGCCATCAACAAAGTCCTACTGCACAGGGTCATCAGCCTCAGTGATGTCAACCTCATCATTGCTGGCTTTTCTGACATGGGCTTCCCCAACTGTGAGGGATCTACTGACAGCACCCATATCCCTATCCAGACGCCTGACCACTGGGCATCTATGTATATTCATCGGAAGGGATACTTCTCAGTGGTCCTGCAGGCTGTCGTAGACCACCATGGGCAGTTCACAGATATATACGTCAGCTGGTCGGGGAAGGCACACAACACCCATATCTTCTGCAACTTGAGCATGTTCGAGAAGCTGCATGCTGGAACTTTTTTCCCCAACCGCACCATCAGGGCTGGGGAGGTGGAGATGCCCATGTGCATGGTGGGGGACACAGCCAACCTTCCATTTCCCTGGCTCATGAAGCCCTATACTGGCCACCTTGACCACTCCAGGGAATGGTTCAACGCCAGGCACAGCAGGGCCTGCATGGAGGTGGAGGGTGCCTTCGAGTGTCTGAAGGACAGTTTCAATGTCTCTTCAGTGGCTGGACATTGGGGAGTGGAACATCCCACACGTGGTGGCTGCATGTTATCTGCTTCGCAATATTTGTGAGAGGAGCTGATGGGAACAGCAGGGCCTTCAAACAGCAATGCATGGCTGCCATTCAGCAGGCTCTTCAAGGGGCTGTGTACATCCGGGAGGCCTTGAGGGAGAGTTTCTCCCAAAGACTCCAGTGATACTCTCCCCTGGACCTCCCCACTAGGGGCCTGTGCATCACCCTCCTGCGTTTCCTCCCACAGCCCTCCCTTCCCTCCTCCCCAGGAGACAATAAAACAGACAGTTTGTTTTGGAAAAAATAAACTCTTTGCTTTTTTATTTGCGGTAGATGTAACTGGGGAAAGGACCTGGGAAGGGGTAGGAGAGAGGGGGGAATGGAGGAGGGAATTGGAAGGTGAGAAGAAGCTCAAGGCTGGGGCTGGGAATGGCACCTGTCTCTGGGGATCCCATCGCTACGGGTCCAGGGGCCTCAATGGCAAGGAGTTGAGGGAGAAGCAGGAGGAGTGGCAGCAGGAGCAGGTGCAGACACAGGCAGGGATTGAACTGCTGTGCACATGGTGCGGCCCTGCTCCAGCATTTCCAGCCAGGTGTCTTGCCACTGATGGATGTCTTCCTGCAGTCTGTGGTCCAGGGTCTGCTGCCACGAGGTGCTTCCTCTGGAAGTCATCCATGGGTCTCCTGTGCCTGTGGGTCCCTCAGGCTTGGGAGGCTGCTCCGGATGGTGTTGACCATCCCCCTACCATGCCTGATCCAGCTATGGAGAACAGGGAGCTGGTCAGTCATCCCAGGAGACACTGTCCTGAAGCCTAGCCCACATCTCTGAGCCAAGAGCAACAGTTCTCAGCTCAGTTGAAGTGCGATGTGCTTGGAGCAAGGCCATGTGTGCTCTAGACAGTGGGCCCCTTCCTGCAGGGACCCAGATGTCCCCAAGGGGGGAGCCTTACTACCCCCACATCCTGGGGACAAGCAGGCATGTGAAGGTGCTGGCCAGACCAGGATCTGCGGGTTGGGGGGGCCCACAGGGTGGCTGGGCTTCCTTCCATGCCACGCACATGCCAGGGCCAGCAGTGGCGGCATCCCACAGGGAGAGAACTTATATCTCTGCCCGCTGGGAGAGAGGGGCAGGGTGTAGGGGGGAGGTGTGTGTGAGCAGCAGATGCTCCTGCGCCTCGCTGCACTGTCTCCGGGAGTGGGTGCTGCCCCAAGAGTACAGGCGTGCCTGTGTGCAGTGTGCGGCACGCTTGGAGCAAGGCCATGTGTGCTCTAGACAGTGGGCCCCTTCCTGCAGGGACCCAGATGTCCCCAAGGGGGGAGCCTTACTACCCCCACATCCTGGGGACCAGCCAATAGCACCAGGGTCCTCTGTTTCAGCCTGCTGGGGCTGTATGCCCCAGAGTGGCGCTCCATGTGCTCTCACATGCGCAGGCTCTGGCACAATCCCCAGACCGAGAAGGCCGAGCGAGGAGCTTGCCCAGCCCCTCACCACCTGCCACCTCCACCTTGTGTATGTAGGGAATGTGATGGCACTCTGGCCTCAGACAATGCCTGGGACACATCCCAAGTGTGGGGGACTGGCTCCAGGGTCAGGATGGTGACAGTGTTCGCCTTGTCCAGATCTTCCTCTTCCTCCACCGCCTTGCTGGTTCTGTACCCCGGGAGGGTGATGACGGGCATCTCGAGCCCCAAGTCCCGAGTGGGAAGGGACAGCCCTGCCCCCAAGGATGTGGTTCAAGTCCTCAAAGTAGGGCAGGTGTGGGGTTCTGCCCAGAAGGGGGAGCTGTGCTCTCAGGGCCTGGCATACACCTGGTAGAGCTCTTTAACTTGGAACCCTGCTATAATTTTGCTTTTCACAGCAGCCCCTGGCAAAGAATTTACAGATTGACTGTAAAGAAACACTTTTCTTTTGTTTGTTTTAGATCGCTTGCCTATTAATTTAATTGTGTGATCCTGGTTCTTGTGTTCAGTGAAGGAGTAAATCCTTATTCAATTTTTCCACACAATTCATAATTCTACAGACCTCTATCATATCCCCCATATTTCCATGCTGGAAAGTCCTAGTCTTTTTAATGTTTCCTTATATGGAAGGTGTTCCAACACTTCCTGTGGCTCCCTTTGGCTGTAATCAGCAAACCAGAGCCAATAGGAGCCATGAGGCTCTGTGGCAGCAGAGCCAGTACACTCCAGAGTGGCCAGTTAGCAGGTTTGAAACACTACCCTAATCATTTCTGTTGCCTCTCTCTATCCTTTTTCCAAGTCCAACATATCCTTTTAGAGATGGGTTGACCATATCTGCATGCAGAATTCAAATGTGGGCATACCATGGATTTATTTACAGGCAATATATTTTTCTGGCTTATTATCTATCCCTTTCCTAATGATTCCTAACATCCTTGTTAGCTTTTTTGAATGAGCAGATATTTTCAGAGAACGATCTACAATGACTCCAAGATCTTTTTATCGTTGAGGTCACCTAATTTAGATCCCATCATTTTGTGGGATAGTTGAAATTATATTTTGCCATGTGCATTACTTTGCATTTATCAACATTCAGTTGAATCTGCCCATTGCTGCCAAGTTTAAAATTTCTTTGTAGCTCTTTGCAGTCAGCTTTGGACTTAACTATCATGAATAGTTTTGTATCATCTGCAAATTTTGCCATCTAAGAGCATACCCCTTTTCCTAAACCTTTTTCATTCATGAATATGTTGAAGAACACTAGTCCTAGTATGGATCTCTGGGGGATACCACTATTTACCCCTCTCCATTCTCACCATTTATTCCTACCCTTGTCTCCTGTCTTTTAACTAGGTGCTAATGCTTTCACGTTCATCTAATAATCTCTAATTTACTATAATGACAAGTCTTTTGTTATCTTAAACATCCTGTTTCTCTTTACAAACAAACTCCCTGACCCAAAGGCTGTGCTATTCCTAGCTTTCAAACTCATCGGCTGCGTCTAGACTGGCATGATTTTGTGGAAATACTTTTAACGGAAAAACTTTTCCGTTAAAAGTATTTCCACAAAAGCGGATCTAGATTGGCATGGATGCTTTTGCGCAAAAAGTGCTTTTGCGCAAAAGCATCCATGGCCAGTCTGGACACAATTTTGCACAAGAAAGCCCCGATCGCCATTTTAGCCATTGGGGCTTTTTTGCGCAAAACAATTCTTCCCTGTCTACACTGGCCCTCTTGAGCAAGTATTCTTGTGCAAGAGGGCTTTTTCCTGAGTGGGAGCGTGAAAGTATTTGCACAAGAAGCACTGATTTTGTGCATTACAAAGTCAGTGCTCTTGCACAAATTCAAGCGGCCAGTGTAGCTGCTTTTGCTCAAATTCTTGCCAGTCTAGACGCACCCATCATATATTACACTCAAGCTGCGTTGAAGGTAAAAGCTCCATTTGGGCGAGTAGACCTCCAGTATGAAACCCAGGGAGAAGGGGCGGGGAGTTAGGCTCTGCCAGACCTCCCTAAATGGCATCTCTGGGTAGCTGATAAAGGAAAGGATATAAAGACTAAGGGCATGTCTACACAGCAAACCTAAAGCCAAAATAAGCTATGCAACTTCAGCTATGTCAATTGCATAACTGAAGTCGAAATAGCTTATTTTGTCTTTTGGTGCTGTCTATGCAGCAGGATGTCTGAAGAAAAGCACTCTTCCTCTGACTTCCCTTACTCCTCGTAAAATGAGGGTTACAGGAGTCGGAGTAAGAAATCCTCCAGCTCAACATTATTTTGACATTATGTCAAAATAAGTGCTTGTACCGTAGATAAGGCTATATTATTCTGAAATAACAGTGCTGTATACACATAGCCCAAGGGTTAGATTCACAAGGGGAACTTATCTGCCTGTGGCATTCACAAAACTACCATTCAGCTGTGCCTAACCGTGAAGATACCTAATGTCCCTAAACATCAATGTTTCCACTATGCCTAAATTTCTGTTGAAGGGCCCGTGCAAAGTCACCTTGTTCCTGCTGCTAACGAGCAACTCAGTGCCTAACCCCTGGTGGGCTTCATAAAGTAGGTATTCACCCACCTACAGTGCCTGATTAGATAGGGAGACTCAGAGCATGCTTCACTGATCCCAATGACAGCCTGAAGGAGGTGATGCATCCCCAATGTCCAGAGCACTCCCTCTTGAGGTGGGAGACTCAGTTTCAGACCTTCCCCACTCTACCTGAGTCAGAGCAAGGACTTGAACACAGAGCCCCTGGGTGAGTACCCTAACCACAGGGCTACAGAAGAGTATTCAGGAGTGGGTCTCCCTTGTTGAAGCTGTTCTACTTTGTATAAAAGTAAGTAATTGGGCCATCAAAATTAATAATGATGTCATCGCCCAGTGGTTAGGGCCCTGCTCCTCATGTGGAAGGGGAAGAGCTGGGGTCAAATCCCTGCTCTGAATCAGGCAATATGGAGAGAATTTGAACCTGGCTCTCCCACGTCCTGGGCTAGTGCTCTAACTGCTATTTCCCTGGAGATGGCTGATCTTGCCAAAGTGCCTAACTCCAGGAAAAGATTCATGGCTGCACATCCCAAACAGAGGTAGGCAACTCACTCTAGCTTGAAGTTGGAGGCCTGTCTCTCTTTATGGGGTAAGGATTAGATCCATGCCTCTCCTCAACACCTCCTGCTGTTTCCAGTTTAGGCAAGTCCCTGCTCAGCGTGCTATATTCCATTAATTCCTTATTTTTTAAAAGGCCTCTCTCTAACTCTCTCCATACATTGTGTAGGCCGGTGTCTGAGTGCCTAGTGTAGTTAAGTGCTGCACTGCTCAGCCTTTCAATACTTAAATGTAGGCATCCATTGAAGCTGGAGGTGTGAGCCAGTGGGGAAGTGCCTGGTTCAGAAAGGTGATTGTATTAGCTTTACTAGGAGGAGGAGGGAGAAAAAT